AGGTTACGAGAAAATGCATATGCCGTGAAACCGTGCTTAGTCCAATTATTTGGATTAGCGAAACAGGATTTATATTGCGACGTAGAAATGGAAAACTCCGTGTTCGGAGAGCGAAAAGCTGCAGTTCAAACATCCCGTCGTGGTGGGTTTGTGTTTGTGGAACGCTATCTCGGTGCAACCCTATCACCACTTCAATGACAGGCCCGGACAGTCGACTGATGCATGGAAGAGGGAAGAGTGAGGCAAACACTGTGGGATCAATCCCCACGACACATCAGCACACTCCTCACTATGATAAATCTGACAAGCTTGAACCTATCAAGATGCCCAACGAGTCGTATTTTGGAAGGCTGCCAATTAACCAGCCACGCGGTAGATGCGCTGGACCAACACGGCAGCTACACTGGATTCTGGCAGGTGTTCTTGGGAATGCACACCCCATAACATTCGGGGCGCGGTGGCTGGACTAGTTGCCGGCTCATGCCGCGCCAACCGAGACCGCTGCCGTCCCCAACTTTTGCTGTTACTGAAAAGCCTGGCCAAGTGTTTGTTGTGGGCCAGATGTGGTGGTACGCCTAGGTGCGCGTTTTCGTTGCTCCAGTCACCTAAGACCTCTCCCGCATCCGTTCTTCTTAACTATGTCTTGACGCCAGGCCCAGGTGGGGGAGGAGGGAGTGCGGTAGATGCTTCGCAAGTCTACTATCACTATAAGCTAATTCACGCGCAAGTCACCTTCCCTGCTCTCGCTCTGCTATGGGGCACCCAGTGGGCATCGTCGAAATCGACGGCCAAACTGTCGTAAAGTGGAGTAACTGGAGAATTGGTGGTCAGGCTGCAATGGCTTCTCCAAAGTGGCATTTATGACACTCACGCGCATATTAGATCCGAGCCATCCTTATAGTAGCTCGGTACGTGCAATCGGGACCGGGTCTTATGTAGCAAGCATGTACGAGCTGTTCAGCTGTCAGCCACTGTGCCCACGTCCACCCTTGGTCGACTTGCCACTGTCTTGCTATCGGAGCGAGGCGGGCGGGGGGATAAGTGCTGGGCAAACCTGTCTCACCGTAAATGAATCCACGCGCAAGCCACCGGTGTTATGTCTACTTCCCGAGGCCCGCTACCGTTTCGGATTGAGGATCTGTCGGGGTGTACTCTCGATGGGCGTACTGAGTTGGCCGTCCTCAATATGAACACATGCTGTGTACTATATATCGCAATATTCAGACAGATCATTTTCTTTACCTCGAATGACTCGATGACACTGCTTTATTATGAGAAGATGACAAAGATGGAACGTTTCGATGTTGTGACCATGTACGTTTGATGCTGTGGCAAGTTCAATAGATTAGGATCTATTCTAAAGTATCCGGGAATGTATCGGTCGCAAAGCGAACGACGGAAACTTATGCTACCTGCGAAACCTGAAGGATTAATTAACCATGAACGTCGTGTCCCTCGGTTATTATTAGCGGTGCACTTGTGAGCACTATACGTCAAGTCATGTTAATGAAAGCAGGAAATGGAACTACACTGTTTTAAAGCGATTCTACATGTGACATCTTTCAGGTACTTTTTCTACCAAACCTTTTTCTTTATTGGGAACGGGGGCGTGGATGACTTTCCCTGCCCTATGTTCATAACACTGAAGGTCGAGTCCACTTCCTCTTTCAAGTGACCAACCATTTCGTTCTCAGTGACGGCATTATGACTTCGACATAATGTGCCCAGCACTTGGCCTTCAACACCCTAGACGGCCGTCCCTTGAGGTTTTGCGTTACAGGCTCCGTAATCAGCGAGGAAATTGGAGAACCACCAGTCTGCCTTTGCTTGACTCGCATGTGATCCTATCGAGTGTGAGAGGGTTTTGACGTGGCCTCAGGCTGTTCGAATCTAGGTCTAACCGCTGTTGTCATCCGAGTGACCATGTGGCCGGCCACTGGTTGCTTCCACAGCCAGTGTTTAAGGAGAATACAGTTGGTCTTAGCTTTCAAAAGGCATAGAACTGATAATGGGTGCTATCGTCACTGCCGAGCGTGAAAAAAAAGACAGCAAGCCTAGTGCAAGCTTATTTGTGCCCAGAAAATTCACCAACTGATTGACTGGCAGGAACTTGGTTGCGCGATAATTCGACCTGACAACGTGCGGCCATACAAAGCAGGAAAGGCAACGCTAGCGGCGGTGGCTGCGCGTTTACGATGGCTGAAATTGACGCCCATCTACCGAAGGCGCAAAACTTCCTGCGAAGTCTGGTCGATGGGATGGGATGCGCGGGCACGCAGGCGCGTGTGCGAGGCTGCGTGGGAGAGAGAGATGACCGGCAAACGCGCATAATCCATCGATTGCTAAATTTCTAGTCAGGGTAAAGCAAAACTCCTACTGTTGTTCAAATGCTTTACTCGAAGGCTACGCTGTTCTTTCTTTCCAACTGTCATAAACGAAAAAGGACGGACAGACACGGTATTAAGACTGGGTCTGCACTTTAGAGTGGATAGGGGTCACACCGCACGTCCACAGGCGGCGAACGACCTTCAGCGAGGGCTAGCAGGGAGGCAAGTGGCTGTAGGGACCGATGAATAACCAGTTGTGGAGCACGCAGCAGCAAGCGCAGTGACTGATTTAGTCCTTGGTGGCGAGTAGAGGATATAACTGCGAATATAGTATGACGCGGTGGGCGTTATATGAGAATAACATTCACGAATCCACAATGACTGCCCGGGAGGTTAGGGGCTAACGAGAGTAAGTACGTCGGAAATGGTCGCTCCAGTCTCTGTCGCCCTTGACAGCAGACTTTCCGGCTATCAGTCGCTTGTCTCAATGTAATGACACGCGATGGGAGCAGCGTGGGGTTACAGAACAAAACTGATTACCAGTATCCAAGCCTACAATCAGGTCAGATCGGTGGCACCAGCGCCAAGAGACTTTGATACTGCAGATGGCAGTCGTGAGAGGCCGAATTCGTAAATCAATAGCAGGGGGTTGAGCTACAAGTCATCAAAACCCAGATTACAACCTCAGATCTTCCCAGACCGGTCAGGGATAGCAAGAGATTATAAGCCATAGACGGTCATTCCGGTCAACCATGTCTCTGTAAAGAACGCCACTTATGAGGAGAGTTGTTTGCCACCAAAAAGCGCCTCGCCAGGCTTGGCGGATTAGTCTCAACTCAAGGACTCTTCGAGATCGCGGACCTAGTGTTTGCTGTGACCTGGACGCTGGACGGCAGTAAATTACAAAAACAGTGTGATTCTTCTTCCTATGCCAGCATAAATAGCGTGCACAAGTCTAAAACTACCAAGCCGAATTCTCTGTATAACAGAAAACCTTTGGCGAATGGAGGAAACCCCCAATGCTCGTAGAGAGACGCGTTCACGAGTTCAGTTGTCCAAAACGATTAGATCAACAACTATCAACGACGGCGAGCAGTATTGAATTGCGTTCGAATTTCGTCTAACCAAAATATGGACAATCAAGCGGTCTTGGTGGGATTCGAAACCACGACAGCAAGGGCAAGGCTCGAAAACAGCCAACGCCCCAACCACCTGAGCTACGAGGCTCCCACCGGAGGCCGTGCATCCAAACATGCTTGGGTCAAGTTACCCGCCCAGCCTGTTGCAGCATATGGAACCCACCAACGCTGGTACAGCAAGCGGAATAAAACCCACCAGACGACGCAATGAATAAAAAAACCTAAGAATTATGTTTGTTGTATAGTAGAGTTGGCTTGCATCTATCCCATTCTCTGTTCCCATACCCGCCGTAATTCGCCGAGGTCAAGACGGCGAGAGAAGGGCGAAAGCAAGGTGAAAGGCAATCTTAAAATGGCCGTTATTCTTTGTCACACGGTCTGATCCTTAGTTGCATATACGTGTGGCCCCGGTGGGAGGATTTAGGCTCTCACATGAGCGCCAGCTCCACGAAAATCATATTAGGACTGAGCCGATGCGGTCTTAACCAAGAAGGGTCGAGTTATCCACTGAACTGACGACCTTATATGCCACGACCTAGTGCGTCGTGATATTTCAAACGCGATAAAAATGTCGTGGTATGTAATTTGTTTCACCCTCCTGTGACAGCTTCGGCGTGGTCATCAACACAGAGAGGACGGTGGTCATGCATTAACCTCCGTCCGACGCTGCCTACGTCGCACGCCAAATCAACACGAACGGCGCCAATTTGCAAGCCGTGGACAACTTCACCTACCTGGGGGGCACCCTCTTCCGCAACATCAAAATCGACGACGAAGTGGTCCACCGGATTTCCAGGGCCATCCAAGCCTTCAGCCGTCTGCATAACACCGCCTGGAACCGTCATGGTCTCCATCTTAACACCGAACCGAAGATGTATAAGGCAGACATCCTGCCGACGCTGTTGTATGGAGCGGAGACCTGGACGGTGCACAGGAAACAGGCGCAGACTCTAGCACTTCCACCTCAGCTGCCTTCGACAGATATCGAAGCTGAGGTGGCAGGACCGGATCCCCGACACGCACTTACTGGAGCGGACGGGAATCCTCAGCATCCACGCCACGATGAGACAACTACAACTGCGTTGGGCAACGGGCGACTACCCAGCCGACTCTTCTACGGAGATGTCGCCAAGGGTTCCCGCCGACAAGGAGGCCAAGTCCGGCGATACAAGGACACTGATGACTTCCTTGAAGCGTCTGCAGATCAACCCTGCAAACTGGGAAGACCTCACCAGAGACCAACCGACCAGGAGGACAGTGGAGACAGACGCAGCAATTTACGAAGCCAACCGAGTCACTTTCACCAAAGCCAAACACGAGGCTCGGAAATCCCAATTGCGTCCACCTCGCAACACCAACGCTCAACCAGTCCGACCTGCCCACACTGTCAGCGGACGTTCCAGGCAACAATCGGCCTGGTATGACATCTTCGTATTACCTTCAGCACCCAGATTATACCAGAGGTTGTCCCTCGTCCAGCTCCTCAACGCCGAAACTAACGCTAGCCGCACTCCCCGAACCCCCCACTACCGTCCCCCTCCTCCTCCCTCTCCACTTCCATTGCCTCAACATCCACTACGGCAAATATACTTAAGTCTCTACATCAGAAGTCCGCATCAAGTCTTTCGTTCTGGTCACCTCTACGATGTGTGAAGTTGGGTTCGTGAGTGACTGAAAACCCCAAGTGTCCCAATAAACCAAATGATGGTCCTCAACGGACCTGGCATGATTGGACGCCTTAATCACACCCCTTAGGACTGCGAAGGATTCTCAGAGAATGCTTGTGTATGGCCGTGTGCTCTACACGGCTTCAAGAGGTGATTCAGCTCGATTCTCTCGGCAGCTATGGGTGCTACGGTGAGCGTTCACTCAGCCGTAAAACATGTGCACACAGAGACCCGTTTGAGGCTGCAGTTGATGACTGCTGTCACACATGGAATATGCAGTATTCGACAATTTATCAAACAGCGTTATCGAAGATGAGGACAACCATGAAAACGAGCGTCTCCTGCTAATTCCTGCACTTTAAAGAGCACAGAAGACACAACAGAGTCATGTTGTACTATTAAGTACCTGATTGCGCCCCGATCGAGGATTAAAAAGATACCGTCGGCATACAGGTCCGAAAATTGAGCTCCCAGCATATCGAACCATGGCTTTGACGTTTTCAAGTAGGACTTTGCGACCCGTCAGCTGTTATGAATGTGGAGACACCACCCCGTTTAAGGTCACCACAAAAGGAGTCTAGTCTGTATCATATGCCCTAGACTCCACATTGTCGTCTGCAATGCGCAGAGTACATTCTATTAAGGTTTAGAAGTAAGTGGGCCGCATCGGCTTGAGATAATGTAAACACTGAGGCTAACTAATTACGTTTTGACCATGACCACTAAAGTACGACAAGTTCGCAAACACAGGTGGGGGTAAAGCCGGCAGAGCGTGAACGTCACCGTCTGGCGCCATTGTGGATGGAGGAAAGTCGATGCAAAGAAGTGTTTCGCAGTGTCCGGGGCAGAGCTGATGATTCCGAACACGGTCAGACGGAAGACTTCAAAATTCTATTAGCACCAGGTCCAAGTAGTCGGTTATGAAACACGCACAAACCTCATCGATGTGACGGCTTTATTGAGCCTGCCGCCCAGTCTCGTCGTCTTACCTTGTCATCCAGCAGATCATGGACGATTCTTAAATGTTATTGGCAGGGATATGCCCCTTAGTATTTAAAATCCTAGCCAGTGTTAGCGAGATTCAGCATACAAAAATGGCTCTAAAAGGCCAATCTCCCCAAAGCTGGCACACAACATAGTCACGAGAGCCTGAAGATGCGACTAATTTTTTTCCCTGAGATGCGACTAATTTCTTCCCGTAACTGAGCCAAGCAGCGACTGGCCAGGTTTTTGCACATCTAAAAAGCAATAGGAACTGAATATCATTGCCTACAATGACAAGGGAGACTGGGATGATAATTTGTGGCTTGGAGACAGTATTCGGTCAGCCATACCCAACCCCGATGTAACTCCCGAGGCTCGAACTCGCGACCTGTTGGTAAGAAGTCCAACGCCAAGATCGTCGAACCAAGGGCTCGTTGCCCTGTCGGTTGCGATCGGGTATATTAACAATGATAGAGGGGCGCGCACCGATCGCGTTACGCAACTCACTTCTAACCAACAGGTCGCGAGTTCGAGTTTTGAGGGCTACAAACATCGGTGTTGAGAGTGGCTGACTGGTGACAGCTAACAAGTCAGAAACGGCCATTCCAGTCCTTGTCCACAGTGCTATTCTGTCTATATCATGTGTCGCTGTGCGGCTGCTGACAGGGCTGTACAGAGAACCCTAAGGCACAACGGGATGAGCGAGTTTCGTTACGCGATCGGTGCGCACACCTCTGTAACTGTTGGAAACAAAGATTAACATTTTGGCATGTAGACACGTAGTTTGAAATACTGAATTAGCCATTCCGCAAAGTGGCGGCCAGCATTATATTCTGCTTCAAGGTGCTCCGGTTTAATTTTTATTTATGAACTAATCATGCCTGATGTGGCTGCGGCCGTGACTCAATCAGCACACCTCGGTAGTATCCCACGAGATGTTTCTTCATGAGCAGTGCAGATATAAGCGCATCCGCCCGTTCCCAATACTGAGTGCCTAGGGAGCAACTACGAAAATTCGATAGGCTCTGTCATGCCGAATTTCGATTTGAGCATTTCCCCTTCTACTTACGGGGGGGAAACAGAACTGAAGGACGGCAACAGAAAACTCCCGGGTAAGTAACGGAGCATGTTTAATCAGGTCCAGATGTCTCTGTTGGGTTGTATGAAATAGTTCGGGCACCATTCACCAACGGACGAGGGTTGTCTTACTTAATGGCAACGTCTCTATCCTTCAATAACAAAAGGTTCCTCTGGTAACGGCAATCAAACATTTCAATTTTTTGTTATTCTCCGCGAGTGCAATTTCATTCTCTAAACTATGCAGCAGGGCGAACGGAGTGCATTTGGACCTCTGCCATAATTAGTATATCGTGATGTACGAACAGACATCTGTGAAAACCTGCAAAATTCTTTCGAATGATGTAGAACCGGGAGACCATTTTTCCCACTAAGAAGTACCGTGGTCGATAGATTGCAATTTCCCTATCCCTTCAGGTAAATAGTAAGCAATCATAACAGACACTAGCAGACATCTTTGAACGTGCCGGGTAGGCCACAGCTGGGCTTTGGTCTCGTGGTAGGAACAGTGAGGCCATCCGGTAATGACGATGGGGGAAACTGCTGCGATTCTGATAAGGTTTATGCAGGCGCACTTGTCATAGATCGTTTCACCAAGGCTCTCAGAAAGGGGCAAAGGGACTGAAATTCAGTCCTTAGGAGGGTCCCATCCTTTCAACGCTCAGTCCACCGTCTCACAGAGTCAGGGTGCTACTGTTTATAAAGAACTTGCAGATTTGATCAAGAAGGTCGTTTTCGAACGTCTTGCTTTTGTACAACCTCACAATCGAATAGGTGATCTTGTACAGAGAAGTCGATTTACAGGATGC